TGTGTGTGTGTGTGTGTGTGTGTGTGTGTGTGTTGGCTAAACAGTCGTGCTCCAACAGCTGATTTATGGTTGGCCAATGGCAACAAAGTTCCCACGAAAATTGTTTCTCTGAGTTGAGCTGGGGACACACCCAGGAACTAAATACAGACCAAAAGAAAGGAGAGGAGAGGAGTGAGTGCGCACTGGTGTTGGACGTGTCGAGTTAGGAAGGGAGGGGAGGGTGAGGGTGGGGGGAGGTTGGTCACTGTTGCAGGGAGAAAGGAGGGCAGTGCACTCTGCAGGCACTCTCACACACCAGCACTCGTTAGTCTTTGGACACAAATATAATCCTTTAATAATCATGTAATTACTTACCTGTCATCTACAGGGTCCAATGCGAAATAGACAAAAATAAAAACGGAAAATGAAATGTTGTAGCCTAAATGCTAAACGCAAATATTTATATATTTAAAAATATTATGCATTTAAATATATTTATACACCTTTTTCCAGTAATGCAAATGAAATGTGTGCACGCTGTGCGTTCTAGATTTCGGTGTGGTTACTTGTACGAAATAAATCACCAAACAGCAAATTAAATTCGTTAATTTCATCGTCAGCAAAGCTGTGAACAACATCGATATGGAACCACAGAATGAAAATACTGTTTTCAAACAAATATCTTTAAATGATTACATTCCTTCGACAAGGACACTGATGTGCATCAGTTAAAGGTCATTCATCCTCCGTTTTGTTTGCATCACTGATAATTACTCTTTCATCAACATACACGGAATATGAGCCTGAATGCACACATACGAGGCAGAAAAAATAAAACAGAAATGCAGGAACAGACAAAGGTCGACTTGTCTGATTTCCAGCCTTCACACAAGGTTTTGCAGCAGAACAAGCAGAGCTGCAGCCACAATAACCCCCCAAAGCCTCCACAGGAGGGCGTCAGAGAGCGCATCCTTTGGCCACCATCCACCCAATGAATTTTGCAGCCGAAAGTCCATTCACATTTAAATCAACCAACAACAACATAAAGTCAAAGCGGCGCGTAAAAACATGAATATTACCATAAAACGTATATCGGTGTACAAGAGCAAAAAGCTTTCCCAATTCAAATTGATCACCTTCACCATGTAGCATCTATCTGAGAAATCCGAATAATTTAAACTGTGACACGAAACCAGTTCCTTCACACGATATTTAAACCAAATGAGGCGCAGCATTTGAATAAAGATGTTTTACTATTTGTTCAAGCAGTTGCGTAAAAGAGCAAACACACACACTCGACTGACAAGCTTCAGCTGTCTTACCTTGTGGAGGCTTCTGCATGTAAACACAGGAGGTGAGGGGAGGGAGTGGGCAGGTGCAGACGGCCAGTGACGGAGAAAAGTCTCCAGCTGAGTCCCCGGACGGAAACAGGGTCTCCCGGGGGGTCAGTGACGCACTGGGGCTCCTTCCACTCATCTTGCCCAAACGTGCCAAGCGCACGGCAGGGCACCCAAACGGTCCAGTCATCTTTCTCTGTAAGCTCCCAGCGCGTCGAGTAGATTCTGTCTGACCAAGAAGAAAAAGAAAAAGAAACTCCACAAAAAAATAAGGCAGATGTGAGAGGTCTAAAACTGTAGAAAAGGTCGCTGCTGGTGTAAAAACAGCCTGTGTGGAAGCCTTACACCGTTAAATGAAAGGCTGCTCTATTCTGCTATTGGAAATTATATATAAAAAAGTTCATGTTCACGGCTCCCTGCCACGTGACGAGCCTGTGGCCAATGAGAGGCCGAGGCGCGTCGTAAAGTTGTATTGCTATGTTGTAAATTTTCATAAACAACAACGGATTTATGACCCAGTGCTGGAGGGAGAGATGGGGAAGAGGAGGAGGATGGAGGGGGGCGAGAGCGAGCGAGAGAGACAGACAGAGAAGGAAGGGGGCAGGTCACCGTCAGGCGCCATCTTACCGAGTGAAGAGGGAACGCAGAGTTCAACAGTAATTTCCCTTCATCTGCAGCCTGTCCCATCTCGCATCCTCATAGCTCACATTCCCCAACTTCGCTGTTTACCTAACCCTTATAATGGACTGTAACGCATCTCATTACACGCAACCAAATCCTGGTCATAACTGGTGACTGGGTGCAAGATATTACTACTTAACCTGTGCGTAAAAATCCGGTTACACAATATTAAGCGAGCAAATGTTGAATAAAAACAGACAGATGAAGGCTATTTTTATTGAATGATTATATGTGTATTTACAGATTGTTTTATATTGCTTACTTCACATTGGAAACGAGGGCACCGAAGCTAAATATGTCACAGTATTTGCACATTGTGGATTAGAATAACCTTCTCATTTTACACCGACAAAAGAATGTGATACTGAAATGTCTCTAAATGACAGTGCATGCGTTTCTCACCCCCCCATGTATTCACAGACACATGAAATTTTGATCCTGAAATCGGAGGCTTGTTATGCCAGTATTTTTTACAGTACACAGCTAAAAGTTTACACTAGTGTATTCCTGTTTACAGTAGCATAAGCAGGTTCTGGGAGTCTGAGGTAGGTTGCATAAGATCTAAACAGATATTTCCGTCAATGCTGGGATGCAGAAAAGCTCAATGCTTTATCTACAATATTAAAATCAAAAATAATATAGAGGGCTAACTCACAGAAATGATTTTTACCAAAGCAACAAAACATTCAATTTGAATTATCTTACTTCAAATAAGGCACATTTGCGCACAGTGTTGCACTTGTTCCGTGTGCAAAATACAACCGTCTGTAGAGATTTTTTTTCTTCTTCTAATTTTTAATCAATTTCAGATTTAATTTCTTGTGTCAGTGTTTAAATAATAGAAGGTAAATATTAGGTAGTGTTTCGTTAAAGGAATGTTGATTCAGTAGTACAATCATTACAAGTTGCATATAGATATAAAAATACAGGCTAGTTTGGATAGGTAGTTAATGCCGCTCCTTCATTTGGAGCTTTTAAAAACACATTTTGGGTTGAAATATGAAAAGCAGATTTGCAGTCTGCTTTTAAATTCTGCTTTCCAGCTGTCATTCAGATAATCAGCCTGGAAAGCAGAGTTCACGAATGGTATGTGAGGAAAACACATATATCCTAAACATACTTTTTTTCCTTTCTTTTAATTCTCTGTCCGTCTCTTTCGTTACTTTGCAGCCGTTTCTGACTCCGCGCTGTCTCCAGTTTCGGGCTCCTCGGCCTCGGACACCGGCGGAGCATCACCGGGCTTTTCCCCGGAGTTTGATTCCGGCTCATCTTTGTGGTCCTTCTTCCACTTCATCCTGCGGTTCTGAAACCAAATTTTGATCTGTCTCTCGGAGAGGCAGAGGGCGTGCGAGATCTCGACCCTCCGCCTGCGGGTCAGATACCGGTTGAAGTGGAATTCCTTCTCCAGCTCCAGGGTCTGGTACCGGGAGTAGGTCTGGCGGCCGCGCTTCCGATTTGGATCTGTGGAAAAATAAAAACTTACTGTATTTGTCTGCATGAAAGAAATATCACACTGTTTGAAGCATTCATTAAAATGTTGTTGAAGCTATAATGACAATTAAAACCTGCAGCGGAAACATCTAAGGTGTCATTAATTTATTTGTAACTGCCAGTTAATTGTGTCTCATATTTTTACATTACCCCCTGCCCACACACACACTCCTTCAAATTAACAAAAAAAAAAACTTCTCTGCATCAATTTAAAGTAGTCCTGCTGGGGTGTTTCACTCATGCTCCTTTGATACTCTGCATGCCTCTCAAATTAAAAGCCAGCCATGTTCTGCACACCGGAGGAGCCATAAGTAATTAGATTACAGCCCCCACACCTTCTCCTTCAAAAATAATTATACAACAAAATTCCCATTTCACTGCATTCTAAATCCACCTGACTTCTTTGTATAATCGGCAGGAGTGGTGCATATTGATCCAAGTTTCAGGAAAATAGCAGAGCCTCTGCAGTGCAGACCCAATTAGAAAGGAGCTGCAGAGTGCAAGGGAGCTGATTTACACAACAGGCCGGTATTTTTTACAACCACAAAGGGGAGAAGAGGCTGTAAGAGTAATAGGAGTGCAGAGAAAACCCCCAGCGGCAAGGTCTCTGCGTACTGAACACACAGAAGCGCTGGCCAAATGAATTTATGGCTGCAGAACTCATTAGTTGCGCAATAAAAGTTTTACGATTCTTTCCATGCAACACCAATGGCTTCACGAAATTAATTGAACCACTAACGGCCAGTGTAAGTATCACAATGTTTTGTAAAAGCATTGACCCGAGGGCTTTGAAATAGCACATACCTGATGCTTGCATCCATGGGTACAGCCGGTGCTGTTTGTCCGGCGGCGAGGTGAGGGGTGCCGGCACCGGATGACAGCAGCTGTCGCTGAACAGGCGGCTCTGGTCAAACGGGCTGCAGTGCAGAGTGTGTGCGTCCTGCCGCTGGCCGTAGCCCGAGGTGAACACGGGGTGGCTCTGGTACACCACGTTATTGACGCTGTAAACTCCAGACAGGGACGGTGCGAACGCGATGGCCGCAGCGGTGGAGCCATGGCCGTCTCCACTGGGTCCAATACCGCAGGACGCTCGCTCTGCGTTTGGGAACGGGGAACCACCCGCCGTAGATTTGCTAAGAAGACCATCCACATAATAAGAACTCATATTTTTTTCTCTCTGATTTGTTGGCCCAGAATCCTCAGTGTCGTTTTTACGAGGTAGCGTGATATATGACAGCAATACACCCTAGATTTACACCAAACCCCATTTTTGCTCTGGACCAAAGAACTCACCCATGTGACTCCGGCCCGGTCGCTCTCGTCCAATCAGCGCAGACGTGGGTTTCATTACGGCGCAGGACTGCAGAGTGGGATTAACACTTCACACACATAAACACATTCACACGTATAAACACACATGAGAGAAATTCACACGATCCCAATGATCTAGGGGTAATTTACGGAATTAAAAGGTCACTTTTCTTACCATCGCTTTGGCCAGCGAATAATCACAGATATAAGAGCCTTATTTTTTTATTTTATGTCGGCCTTCGTTCTTGGAAAGCTATAACCTGCGTGATAATAAATAACAAATCAGCCATCACGCACAACAGGCTAATGCACAGTAATAATTGTTCATTGGTTATAAAAGCTATAATCACGAGCTAACAAACAAGAACCACTGCAACGGGAAGGGATTGTTTTTTTGCATTTAAAAACAAGTCTTACACAGACGAGAAGTGACGCTTAAAAAAGTCATTTTAAAACATATTTTGATGATGCACATGTTGTATTAATATATATATAGAGAGAAAAAATATCCATAACATCTCCTATTGTGCTTCCTAGTTAATTTGAACACTGATTATGGGCACTTTAATACAGATCTTTGATCTGAGAACCTAAGTACATATTTTTATATAAAGAAAAGGTTTTAAAACTTGGACCAGCAAATAATAATTATAATAATGCCAAAAAGATGTATACTGGCACAACAATGCTACCTAACTGTTCCTTAAATGGACAATAAATTAGCATGAAGCAACGTCTGCAAGAACAACAACAACAACAAAAGAAACAACAACAAAAAACATGAACATAAAAGAAATCAAACGGTCAGAACTGCATTGAAAAGTATGAACTATTGTTATTACTAATATTATTTTAGGTAGTACTATTATTACATTTAGTACAACTTATTGCTATTAATGTTATTATTTTTGTTGTTATTGTTGTTGTTATTATTATTGTTATCATCATTATACATTTGGAATACAATCACTGATTTATTTTTTACTGTTTGAATTTGACTTTATAATCATTCCCTGGAAAAACTACAGCTTAAAGACAGGACGTCAAAATCAGCACAACTAAATAAATGCAGTGAAATAAAAATGGTCCAGATATTTTGATAGTCTAAATAAACCTCCAGATATATAAATAGTTTTAAAAAAATGTTATCACCTAAAATCAGAATTTAAATAAAATAATGATAATAATAAAAAATATTAATAATAAAGGACAGCGGTGAGCACAGCGACTCTTTGAGTGTGAGCAGTAATCCAGGAGCCACAGTGCGCAGGCTGTTTCATTCTTCCCTGCAGAGCAGCAGGTTGAGGAAGCAGCTTCTGCACTGAGACTGTAAAAAGGTGTGAAATTATTTTCCTGGACTCTTAAAATGTTACTACAGTTTGCTGCCCAGTGCAGGTTCATTAGGGAGGAGTGTTAATAGCAGCAGGAGGATTGTTATGGAACAGTGTCGCCATCCTCTGGTGACTTGGCGGGATTGCAGGGTGGGGACGCAGCACTGCGCAGACATTTTTGTTTTCTGCAGCAATCCGGGAGAAAAAAAAAACAAGAGAAAAGTAAGAGAAATGACGCACAGATGTACTGTTTGATGTACTGTTTCTTCTGTTGTATTTTTTTTGCGCAAAGCTCTGGAGTCATAACAGGCTGGTCCAGATGTATTTTGGTGTACGCACAGGGCCTACTACTGTGTTTGAAACTAGCTGCTGACTTTATTGCTCCTTTTCCTTTAGGACGGGCTCAGCAAAGGAGCAGAGGGCGGAAGGTTCCCAGGTAGAAACAAAGGATCACTCCAAATGACCGTGAGTCCTGCGCGTCCCCGTCGGGGAGAATCCAATAAAGCTGATCATTTCCGCTCGGCCTTTTGTCCAGATCCCAGTCACACAGAAAGAGGAGAAAAAACAAATGGGTGCCATTCTGGAAACGGCCTAATTGTGTCTGGACGGCCATAAAGCCATTAAAACTGGAATGCCAGACAGTATAGCAGACCAGGCGTTTTATTGCACTGTCTCTGGTCGAGTCTTTGAAGTTTGGGTCCATCTGCGTCCCCTAACGCGTCACAACAGCACTCTAGTTAGACTAAAGTCCGACTTAAGTACAATAATCTATTCGTTTCTGTGCAGTCCTTAAGGACAACTAAATAACCTGCTGCTCCTGAACTAGTCATGGCTGTCTTTGATCGATCTGGAGACTTGGCAGCTCTGCAGCGAGCTCACATTGTATTTCCTTGCTTCTTGCATTTTTCTACCTCTTTTGTGCCAAATATTTCTCTCCAACATGAAGAGACTTGAACCAGTCGACCCTATTTTAAAACTAGACATGCACATCTTTTCCAATTTAAATATTTGTGGTCACATTTTTTTAGTTGAAGCGAATTCCCAGAGTTCCTAGATGTTTTCAGGACATATTAACAAATATATAGAATTCCTGATGTTGCTGTAAATCGGTTCCTCCCTGCGTCCAAACGGCGCTAACAACAGAGCTTTAGGCTGAGCGGCCTTGTCATATCTGAGCTGAACACAAACGCATCGGCTGCATTATTTTGGGCTTCAGCTGTCGGAGCCCTCGATGTCTTTTTTTGTTTTGTGTCCTCTCGCCTCGCAGCGCTTTGCACCCCATAAAAGGTTATAGCGGTAATTGTCTTTTATGGCTGTATACAGCTAACAACATCCTCTGCCAAGACGCAGCTCTGTCCCCAATCCAGATACACACATACACACACACTCACACACACACAAATATTCACGTATAGATGTGTGTATTGTAGTTGGAGTGTGTGTGTGTGTGTATATATATATGTGTGTGTGTGTGTGTGTGTGTTCCCTGCAAATTCAGTTGTAACAGTTGGAAAATGTTTTAAAACCATGGAAATTCGCACTATATTCTCTAAATATCACTGTTTTTTTTATATCTGTATTCTTGTGTGCGTATGTGTGTGAGTGTGTGTGTGTGTGTGTGATGGTTTTGCAGTGCAGTAAAGATTTTGCGCGCAAAAATTGGCGAATTAAGACATCATAAAGGAATATAATGCGAGGCCAAGATGAAATAAGAATGTAAATGGCGTGCATTCGCAGATATAATTTGTTTTATTTAATAAATAAAGTACAAATTACATTTGTGAACCAAAAAAGTCAGACGGCCAGCAGACCGCGAGGTATTCAATGAGTAGCCTACAGTGTTTTATATTTTCTGTCCTCTCACTAACAAACATTATGCTCTTTGAAAATGTTACTCCCTGAAATTCAGTCAGACACAGTTCAGTAATGCAAGCAAAAAAAAAAACTCTACTATAATCCGCCATCGACAAAACAAAGGTTATTGTAGGTAGTTGAAGGGCATAGGTAGTCAATCATGTCATATAATATAGCTTCTATAACATTAAATTGAGTTTCCAAGAAGATGTCTGTGGGTTTTCTGCACCTAAACTTCAAAAGGCGACCCGTCTGTTTATCTGGGCTTTTTTTTTTTTCTTCCTACGGTTCTATGTTAGATTCAAACTCATGGTCATCAGTCATAGTTCTAGCAGTAAGGGAGAAACAACAATAAAATTAATACATTTTTTAAAAAACAAACTATGCGCTCAGGTGGCTCTGAGATAGACAACAAATACAGCTACAAACCAGAACACACACAGTTAAAAACATCCATACACAAACAAGCACAGGAATCAGGCCAACTGATACACTTTAACGAGGTATTAATTCAAATAAACATAAAAAAAAGAATTTAAAAAAACGAGTGGGCACTGTTAAAATTGTGCAATATAAAGGTAGTCGCATCAAACTAAAAGCCCAACATGCGTTTTTTTTGTTTGTTTTTGTCTGTTTTTTTTCTTACAAGACAAATAATCCTATAGCTGTTATATAGAACAATAAGACAATGGAGTTTAAAAACAAGGTCCAGCAGAGTTAAGAGCTTTTACACAGAAAGCTCGCTATCAGCCTAAAATACTGCTCAATCTACACGGTTCAGTCACTCGTCTTTCGGTGCGCCGTCTTTATTAAACTTCTTCATCTTCATCCTGCGGTTCTGGAACCAGATTTTAACCTGTCTCTCGGTGAGGTTTAGCAGCCTCGCCACCTCATACCTACGGTCCCTGGTCAGGTAGGTGTTAAAGAGGAACTCTTTCTCCAGCTCCAGGATCTGGTGCTTGGTGTACGGACAGCGCTTTTTTCTCGTGGCACTCGCGTGGAGCCAGTTGGACACTGGATTATCTGAAAAGGTGCGACACTGTGTGTGAGCTCCCGGTTCTGACTGACTTTAAAAACAAAACACATCAATCAGGATTTGGATGAAACCAAAAAAAAAGGGGGGAAATCCTATTGAAATTCACGCGTAAATGCAGCTACATTCAAACAAAGCTTTCTTTTTCCGTCTCCTTCTCTCGCTGCTCACTTTGCAAAAGGTTATCTAATACAGCAATGTGAGCTGGGCCATTAACAGCCCCCCATAAGGAAATGGCATGCTCAGAATGGCATCTGTTAGGACGCGCACCCCCATCACGCAGCCCAGTCCTCACAGCTTTATGCGGTATAAATAGTTTAAACATAAAGGACTCTGCGGCGACTTACTTGGATCCAGGCCAGGTTTCTCTTCACTCTCTCCGCTCATGTCCCCTGCCTGGACGGACAGTTCGTCCTTTTCCACTGGTGATGCTGTCGCCACCGTGCCGTTGGCGTAATCGGAGAGCAGCAGCGCCGTGTGGGATCCGGGCAGCGCGCCGTCAGCTCGCGTCCCCAAACCCTCCGGTTTGATTCCGTAATGATGGCTCGTCGGTAATCCGGTCATGGGCAGGGAACCGGACATGGGCTCCAGAAGCCACGACTGATAGCGGCCGTCTGTTTCTGCAGCCACTGGGCCTTGGGGATGCCCATAGTGGTGATGGTACACAGAGGAAACCGTGCCCGGGAACTGAGCCGGGACGTGGCTCCATGACGGTCCGAAAACCGGGGGTTTGGACGGGAAGGTGCAAGTCCCGAGCTCGCTGTGGTCGCTGAGGGAGGCGGGCTGTCTGGCGTGCTGGAGCCCAGGACCGGAGGGGTACCTCGGCACAGAGAGCTCCTCGCTCTCGGGCAGAATGAGGGAATCGACGTAGTAACTAGTCAGTGTTCCAGATGTCGACATGGCAGAAAAATTTGACTTTCACATGTACGCAGTTATACAAGGGATACATGCAAAAGTAAAAAACGCGCGCGCACACACCACACACACATACACACGCAGTAAACCCAGCCTCACAAAATAACAATGTGGAGAAATCAAGTAGCAACTTGGCCCCACAGAGAACTACAGTGGGAAAGTAATGGGGAGACATGCTGCCATGCCATTGGGCAGCAGACACACGTGATCATAAGGCTGAACAATAAAGGATAAATCAATCCCTGTGGTCATTAAATACTCACCCTCTCTGCTATAACAACCCCGAGTTTTAAGAATTATCAAGATATGAGAAAGATCTGCTTTCTGTGAGAGGGGAAAATATGAATGACTGGAATAAAAAAGAGGAGGAGGAAAAAAAAGCAGAGTATTATTGGCACTTGACTGCTGTTACAAGCCCTTCTTGGTTACACAAAACGATACAGTATGTATTTGGAAGCCTTATTTTACGAGATCTTTTATAAGACACGCAAGCACCCTACTATTGCTGCTCACCAAAACACATTTTAAACACCACTGTATCACAGAAACCTTTGCTCAAGGATTTAAACGAGGACCGGATCATAAATTACAACTATACGAATTCCATTCTGTATTTTTTATTTTATTCTATTTGTTTCTTATTTGTCTGCCAGATATCTTCCTGTGTCCGTTTATTCTCCCCTTTAAAGAGCTTCAAATATTAAACAGATTTTACAGAAAAAACGTAAGAAACACAACCAACCTTATGGAGAGGTGACACCAGGCTGAAGTAGTTTTTTGGTGTTTTTTAGTTTCACATTTAGCTGGACGATATAGTTGCTTGTAGGCGGACTTTAGGCCATTAAACATAAGAAAAAAACGCTTACATGGTGTCTTTTCTGGTGTCATAAACACTCTTCCTGAGTTAGCAGGATATTATATATTCTGGGGCTACTTCTCTAACATCTAATAATCCACAGTACAACATTTCTACAGCTTTAATTTAAAATAGAGTAGGACTATACTATATACTATAAATGTGGGGAAAAAATAGGAAACCAATAAACACGAGTTTATTCATGAAGAATTACAAAAAAGTTTTTATTTACAATTTTTCAATCCGATTCACAAAGAGAGGGGAAAGAAGAAGCAGAGGTGTTTAATGTGCTTAAATGTAAAATGCAATTACAGACTATTTACTACTGTTATTAATTTGGCTGTAATTAAGCTTTAAAACCAAACGGCTGTGAATCCAGCAAAGTAACACCAACTTAAATACGGTGCCATGCGTAAAAAATATAAACCGCTACAAATTTAAAACCTGGAAATAAATAAATAAAAAACAAAAGTAACTGTTTAAATGCGGTGCTGCTTTGTAACTGATGCACCCACTTCAACCACGCGGCTGAATATTTCTTAAATGTGTTATTTTGCAAATAATAAAATGAAGACGGGGCGTCACTGCTCAACTCCAACGCGTTTATTTTTTTGCACCGCCGTTATCACTTGTATCGGCCTATATGTTGGTATCATCACTGCCATTAACAAATTAACTCCAATGCCTGCTTGCAGCCAGGGCTTCGGTGTAACGTTACACTTAAATGGAGCTAAAAATAAGCGTAATGTGGTGTTTGTGGTTTCCTCCTTTTAAAATTAAATGGTGCGGGGAGTGGCGAAGACCAGGGCACAAGAGCACGTTCAAAATAGAGTGTGTTTGGTGGTTGGTTGGATTTTTAAAGGTATTAAAGAAATAAAAATAAAAGCACAAAGAAAGAGAATATGGTGTCATTTTAAAAAGCAAACACGTAGCTTCTAAACACATGCGTAAAATAACTTTGTATTGACTTTTAATTCTAAGTTCCAAATGCAATAAAATGTATTTAGCCAAAATATAGAGCAGACGATTGTTTAAGCTAAAAAATAAAATAAAAAAGCAACAGAAAATTCACAATTAAATAAGGCGTCGTGTGTATTAAAGAGAAAACATTGTAACTTGGTTTTATTTTTTATTTTTTTAAATGGTTGCTTCGTGCGTAAAAGTCCATTGCATCCCAAACATAAGCTCACCGTTGCAGGTTTTAAAGCAGCAACCTTGAGTTTTCACATATCACGCTGCGTGTTTTATTTATTACCAGCAAATAAGCGCTTGGCCAACACCCTCGCAAGGCCACAGGCAATTCAACACGCAAGAATTCTCTGCTGCTACTATACTGCATTTAAAAGAGGAGCACGCAAACACACACATACACACACACACACACACACCAGCATCAACAACAACAACAAAAAAGCACAAGGTGTTCATAATGTGCATTCTAGTTTCAGGCTATCACCTCGCTGGTACTTGTACGTTATTTGGCCAACAGACATCAAACAAGCCGAGGAGGGAAAGGAGCGGCTGTGCGCCTATTTGTGCACTAAAAGTTAGAATAGACAAACACCTCCAGAGCAGGAAAAGACGCCACTATGCCAATGGCTCTCAGGCTGTAAACCTAAATCAGGGTGTTTTTTTCACCCACTTTACCGCAGGGGCTATTCACTTCTTTTGCCTCTGCAGATAACAGCCTGTCTGGCGGATCTAAATATCGCCATAAAGCCCTTCCCCTCCTTTTGTCTGAGCCACTATTGCGCAGCGGACGCATCCGGTCTCATTGCCCACGGAGGTCGCTGTTGCCCCATTCACCTTCCCCTTCCCCTCCACTGCAGTGGTCGTAACCGAGGCCTTGTCTGGCGTGTCTGCGTCACTACTACTCACGGAAAACACTCACGGCTTTACCCTTAAATCCCAAGTCCACGACGCATACTGCAGCTCAGCTTTGATCACGTTGATATTCAGCACACATTCCCCGCCTCGGGCTTATTGAACCAACAGAAAAAACAAGCCGAGGAATCCAAAGAGAGAGCACTACAGGAGACAGGTTAAGAGTATACACAGCAGCCAGCCAGCCGGCCAACCCCTCCCCGATTTATAAGCTATAGGAAGGTTTGCAACGTGCTTCCAAACCACCTCTCCACAATTTTGCACAAATCTCATCATCTTTATGTCCCCCCGATTTGCTTTCCTTTTGGTTTCGATGTAAGTAACTGGGGCAATTAAGACAGTTTCATGTTGCAGAGTTAGAAATGGACCCCAACAACATGAAACTACCTAAACCACTCGACAGTCGATCCGGGCCTCAAGTGAAACACAATCAGCCAATTCATAATGCACCGTGGTCGTGGCTTCCGTCATCATGTGTCCACCAAAAAAAATAAAAAAAAATCGCCTGTTTTGAGAAAGTACCACTGGATTGTACACACTATGTAGTAAAGCCGCAGCAACAAGGCGCAAAATGGACAAATTCACAATGATGAATGGACTCACCCGATCCTCGAAACGTTAATCCCAGTATTCCCAGACTTAAGCACAAAGTATTGTTTTATCCACAGTGTGTCTGCACAGTTCAGATTTCTAGCTGAGAGCCGGGCCTCCTCTCCGTCCGAAAGGCTCTCACACGACTGAAGCAGCTCTTAGAGGAGAGGGAGAAACCTCATATACCAGCCAGTCATAAAACTCTACAATAGCCGGCTGGGCATGCAGCAAGACGGCTTATAGCCTAATATCTTAATTATTTCCGATGGCCAGTACATTACCCTCTTTAGAAACATTTCTTTGTCAGCTGCTGCACAAAACAACAAGTGAATGTCCAAAGCATGGAGCCCAGATTATTTTTGAACTTTGAATTTCACACAAAGCTTTGTTTTGTTCCCCTCCCAACTCCTTCTAAAAAGACACAGTAGGTACAAAAATACAAGCAGCTACTTTTCAGTGCGAGCTGATAATTTATTAAGCATTACACAAAAACACAATGTCATATGTACACAGAAATATACAATAGAAACATTCCTCCTTCACTTTGCACACACACTGTTTTTCGTGTAAACGTCCTCAACGTGATAAAGATTCAATTTATACATTTAGCTCATACATAGTTTAGACCTATATCATGGTAGACTACATCTAATGGTCAAAGGGTGAATTATTTTTCCCTTGGTGATATAAGGGCATTATATTCCAGAGTGGTTTAAATTTGCTAAAATAAAAACGTATTAAAATGTTATACCATGCAAATCCAATTAAAATAAAATAAATTCATAATTGTTGGGCTAAATTTAGATATAGGATTATTGGGCAGCGGTGGGGCAAAAATGGACAATTTCAACCACCTTCCAGGGCACAACTGGGGTTTTTAGTTATCTTTTTTTTTTTAAACTGCACTGATTTAACTCCACTGACAACACTATCCAACCATACGACAGAGGTGACAGGAACAATACAAAAACACAATATCAGAAAACAATCAAACAGAATCAATAACATTCAGTTGTTTTTTTTTTTTTTTTCCTTTTCTTTTCTCAGTAGCTCACAGAGGACGATGCATTGACATTAAGCGTGTCTGGAAATTAAAGAAAAAGTTGCACCCCACAGCAAAATGAGTCATTGTGTGGACAAAGTGTTGAGGGAGGGGTGGAGATGAGGAGGAGGGGGGAGATCACTGATTTTTTGCCTATTTTCTTTTTTTTTCTCTCAATGTAAAATCACCTCGTTCATCACGAAAATCCGTAGTTGGCGGTGAGCTCCCGGATCCTGTTTTCTCGCGTCATTTTCTTCAGTTTCATCCTGCGGTTCTGGAACCAGATTTTTACCTGTCTGTCCGTCAGGTGGACGCTTTTACTGATCTCTAGGCGGCGCTCTCGGGTCAGGTACATGTTGAAGAGGAACTCCTTCTCCAGCTCTAGTGTCTGGTGCTTGGTGTATGGACACCGTTTCTTACGGCCGCTTTTTGCTGTCAGCCAGTTGGCCGTGTTTTCACTTTTTGAGTCTCCTAAAGAAAATGGCAGATAGAGGGTTTTACGCACTGCAACATGAGGGACTGTGTTGTGTGTGAGACAGAAAACGAGAACAAACATCTAGTAGTGTTGGTATTTATGTTTGTTTTACGCACATATGAGAGTAACAGGCAGCACTTTGCTTTAATTCCTCTTATTTAGTATCAATAAGCAGTATTTAAACATTTGGACACGTTAAAAGGGAGGCTAGCAGTAAGCAGATGTAAGTATTTATATTGTAGCCTGCTTGTCAACAGCCACTCCTGTACATACACATAGGTCAAGTATAACCAGATGGAGAATAAGAATATATGAAAACATTGCTTTACTTAAAGGCTATTTTACCACTGTTGTAATATTACAAATATGTCTGCATTGGAGAAGTTGCTGCAGCAATGTGCATCAATAAACACTTAACATACCTGCGTATGGTGCAGTATACTTTGTTATAAACTATGTTTTCATTGTTTTTACTGCTTATAAATGGTAAATAGGGGCTTAACTGTTTGCGCGTATTTGTTTGTGTGTGTGCCTTGTGCGTAATGTATGGTCTCTTTGTCAGACTCACCAGACTTGTAGCAGATATAATAACACTGCATATAACATTTTCTACCAGTGGTACAGAGAAACAGAAATGTTATTTTAGTATCATAAATGAAGTGAAATTATAGAAACATTACGGCACAGAAATTCTAAACAGGCCTACAGTAATACAAGTGGGCCTTTGAACTAATATTTACGCAGCGGGCAAAAGAAACACAGACTATGGTTTTTAGTATTTAATACACATTGTGTTGCTTTACTTAAAGTTAGGTTCTTAATGTCGTATCACACTGTAGGTTTGGACACCAAATCAAAGCTTTCCT